GACAATCAGTAATGAGACCAGTGCAACCCAGAAATTTTTTTTAAAAAAAGCACTAGGGCACATTCTGTCACAGGAATGAGAGAAAGATATTTAAAGAATGGTGCAGTTGTGAGAACTGGGACTAGAGAGATGATCTGTTGGGACAACAAGGTCTCAATTACCTGCATGAGTTCAACCCAACTAATCAAAAAAACCCTTTCAAACATAAAATTCACTCATGTCACAGATGCTACACAAACAAAGCCCATAACAACTTTTATGTACAAACTTATTTCATGTTCATGTTATGGAACTGAATCAATATTTGAAAGATTTGTATCGATGCATATAGAAAGTTATCTTTTGGGCGGTGCAACTCCAACTTAAACCGCTAGGTGACAACTGTTTTTAATGCCTTTATTCTGACAGTCGGAGTCAACCCAAAGACCTACAACATTGTCTTGCTGCAGATGGAGTCACTCTGCATCGTTCAACTATTCAGTCCACTTTACACAAGGAGATGTTGTATGTGAGTGATGCAGAGGAAGCCTTTTCTCTGCCCACAACATAAACAGAGCTGCTTGAGGTCTGCTAAAGCACATTTGGAGAAGCCAGCTTAATTTTGGAATAAAGTTCTGTAGACTGATGAAACTAAAACTGAGTTATTTGGGCATAACAAGGGGGTTATGCATTAGGGCTGAACGATCTATCGTTTGTGGACTGAAAATGCCATTGTGTGTATGCGATTGCAAATTTATATACCTGCCTAATTTTGTTTAAACAATTATTGCACATTTTCTGTAAATCCTATAAACTTTGTTTCACATCTCAAACATCACTGTGTGTGTCTCCTATATACTCAGAAAATGAGTTAAGCCTTGCAGATTCGGCCGTCCTGGGGGGACGCGACGCAGCCCTGGGGGGGGGGACACTCAGTCCTACAGCGCTCCTCCGTGAGAGCGGGGGTGGGGGTTGAGGGGTTGCACATGTTCCGCTGCTGTTTCTCACCAGTATCAGCTGATGGAGGGCTCTAGTTTTGTTGCATCGTTCAAGTCAGCGGACACGGTAGGGTCGGGGAGGGGGGCAGGGCATGACGCTTAGCCTGGCGGGTGGCCAAGCAAAGCCTGGCGGGCCTAGAATTTAGTGCCTAGTCCTCACAAATTGTATTCTATAAAGCCATGAATGAGTTTTACAGTCAAGCCATCACAGAAAGTCACTGTAGTAAATATGTATGGGGTAATATTTACATTTGACTCAATGTAATTTTCAAGGTTTGAAACTACCTCTTTATTTAAATGTAATCAGACTGCACAGTTATTTCAGGAGGCTGTTTATTAATCTTAAGACTCCCAGTGAAGTTTCTCCCTGAGCGTGAACCTGTATTTGACTTCCATAAAAATTCCCCGCTCCCTAAAACTATCCCACAAGGAGCAAAGAGGCAATAAAGACAACAGAACTCAGTCAATAATAATTCCACTCTTGCACACAAAGATGAGTGAAAGCTCAATAATGCTCCCTTCAAGAAAGAAAACCATTAGGTCAGCAGGTGTCAGACAATAAGACAGGAATTTCATTTCATTTTGAGTTGAGGCCAATTTATCTGAAATAGCGGAAGGAGCCCAAACTGTTGAATATATTTACTTTAAGAATTTACATTGTTGGTTCTTGCAGCGTTTTGTTGATGAGTGGCATCAGTGTGATGAAGGACGAGCACAAGTCCGTTCACTTCATTTGAGTTTATCACAGAGAAACAAATGAGGACTCATTCATTAAAACTCAGGTTAAACTAATGCCTTTTCACACCCTCATTACTCATTATTATTTCCTGTCATTTTCACATTTGCTGAATAATTTTGGAGTTTTATTCAATGTTACCTTCAACTTTGAACATTTCCAATCAACAAATAACATCACCTAAAAACAAGATAAACAGCCTCACATAGGAAACCCTAATTAAATCTCCTTTAGTTGAGGTTTTTGTATTTGTGCTGCAGTCCTACAGAATGTTTTTGTCTTTTCACTTCAGTATTTTGCTCAGACCAGACACCAGCTGCAGGGAGCAGACAGATAAAGAGTTTAATTTGAGATGTTAAAGAATTAACTGTCATTAATATCTGATCAAATCTGCTGCCTCTGAAGTTTATTATTTTAACTAAAAACAAGATGAACAAGAGCGGCCTGGTGTTATCTCCTTATCGGCTTTATTTAAATAGAAAGCTGCAAGAAAAAACATCCAGATGCTTGTGTTTATTTCTAATAAATGATTAACATAAATTACCTTTTGTCGTGGTTATATGATGGTGGCAAACAAGCAAAAATGGCGCTGAGTCACCAAACACCCAGAGGGAAAGTCCACCATTTTCCCATCATTGTACCTCGTTTGGGTGACGAGACTTCTGACTGAATCCATTTAGTGGAAATTTACGACCGTTTGGTTTTAGGAAAAACAACAACAAGAACAACATGTTGGGGTCAGCTGCATCCCTTGCTTGAGAAAGGAAATATATATATATTCAATTTATTAATTTGAAGAGAAAAAAAAATGTTAATTTAACACGTTTTACTGGTGAAAATGTCAGATAGTGAAAAGCTTTAAATACCATTTTAAAGACTATTATCAGGTTTATTTATTAGCTGTTTGTATATGACTTTTTTTTCTTAGAATTAGTCGGAATCTGAATGGTTTTATTTACCAAATCTATTCTCTAATAATACATTAAAACTGGAAATAAAGTGAAAATATTGTAATAAACGTATATCCAATTAAGAGCAAATTATTGTATGAAAATAAAAGTAAAATGTTACTGGCTATATTATGAGATTCAGAGGCAGCCGAACAACATCAACATGAAAGCTTGGATGATGAGGAGCTTTCCAGGTGAACATTTCTGCTCGAGGGGTAAGACGAACGTGCACGGTGTTAATCAACTGACTGACTCCCACAGGAGGTCATCTGCATTCCTATCACCCTCATTATGTTATGTGTGGCAAGACAAGAATACTTCTATGGTTCAATAAACAAGGATGAAGCAGCCTTGACTGAAGTTTGAGGTTTAATATTACCAAGACTGTAAGGAAACAACAGAGCTGAGCACAGGAAGCAATTAGATGAAGTGGAAGACACAAACTTTAAATTAGGGGGTAAATTTAGATACTTTTTTTTTCAGGGGGGAAAAAAGGGGTCTAAATGTAAAAACTCTCCATTGAAATTAAAAATCGAGCACTGGCTCAGGTACGGTTACTACAGCAGGATTTTAAAATTAAAGACATGAGAGATTCCACACGTGCTGATCAAAAAGGTTTGTTGTGTGGGCCACACGCCAAAAACTACACAGAAAAGGATTTTACACAAACATTCCCCAGTTAGATGGGAAACCTTGCAAGATCAAACGTGAATTTGTAGTAAACAAACATGGTGGACAAGGAGCAAGTTACCATTTTTCCAGACTCCTAAACATCACACTCAACACACAGCATGCTTGTTTGTCCTCAAAATTGGGACCATTCAGCATGTTTGACAGCCCAGATTTATGATCAGAGCACTACTAACACCACAAACAGCAGGATTATCTGATCATTTAGATTGTAGCAAGTAGGGAATCAGCTGTGGGAACCGGACCTAACAGCAGCAAAGCATTAAGATTTGACCTGAACTCCAACTGCCTGAATCTGATTCAACAGCGAGTGTTGGTACCATCGATTTTATTT